TTTTATGGAAAAGTGTGTAATCAAACGTCAAGTAATTGAACAACCATGTTTCTTATGATTGTTTGGTCGTATGATGAGATATGTAACCATTGTACTGCCAAATTTTGTTATAAATTGACATCGTACTTTCATTTTTAAAAATGAAGGCACATTTCATTTCACACAAATTACGAAAACATATTTATACCTTTGTACAAATGCTATCCATTTATTAAAATTTATAAACTCGTTTATTCTTGAAAAAATTTAAAAAAAAATGTTTTACGTTTATGTATTAGAATGTAGCGATAACAAATATTATGTTGGCAGTACTGCGGATTTAAATGTTAGACATCGTCAACACTTGAATGGTTCTGGCTCAGCATGGACAAGAGAATATCCTCCAATCTGTATTAAATGGAGTAATAATGAAAATTTAGAAACGATCAAAACTCTTGAGTATATGAGTCAATATGATATCGATAATGTAAGAGGTGGGGATTATTGCCAGTTGGATTTATCAGATGATGATATTGACGATATCAATTACAAGTTGGAACATAGATGTTATCAATGTGATAGACCTGGTCATTTTGCTGATAATTGTGTTTGTGATGTGTGTGGTAATCGTGGTCATCTTACCAATCAATGTTATCATTGCACTAATTGTGGTAAACGTGGTCACTTGAAAATGAATTGTTATAATTGTTACAAATGCGGTAGACCTGGTCATTTTCCACATAAATGCGATGTTTGTTACTTGTGTGGAGAACGTGGTCACTTTTCCCATGATTGTAAATACGTCTTTTAGATCGAGTTCTTAAAATGGGAGAGAGAATAGGTGATGAATTTTAATATAGTTCATTTATACAAAATATCAATATATAAATTCAATTCACCTAATGTATAACTGTATTTAAACCTATAAATCTTCAATATTTTATAATTTAAAGTCCTGACATGAAATTTAAAGTCACATGATATTTTGTGATTTAAGATTGATAAAATAAAAAATTTATTGAGAAAATATTTAGGAACAAGAGAAAATAGTTTTCTGAAAATTATAGAAAGGCACGTGATATTTCTTTTCATTAGGAAGAATTTGTAAATGTTATAATAGGATGCTTTCTAAGTCATATTTCTAGTCTTTCTTCCTTTTTGCAGTTTTTGTCGTTCAATCCACCTATCAGATATTTTTCAAGTTTAAGATCGAGTTTAGAAACAGCAGGAATTTATGGAGGACCCGCAAAAATATTTTTCATTTCCAATTTTTGTGAGGAAGGAATGAATTCAGTTTAATTCATGGGGTATTAAAATTGCATTACAAATGTTTCATTTTTACATATACAATCGAAGTATAAAGTTCTTGATTCTGTTATTTCCTTATCGTCCTGCGTCATATTTACTAATAATATTGAATACTTAGTAATTCTCGTGTGCTAAAAAAAAAAAAAATCGTAGAACATGAAGTGAGTCTTAATAATATTATATTAGTACAGTAAATATAAAATAAACATTTGGTTACTATAGTTGTTAATTACAGTAATTGCAGATTTAGAAGGTATTTTTTTACTAAAGCCAAACTTTTAATTGCAAACTTTCTGGATATTAGTACTGAAGTAAACACTGACGATTTTACCACATCATAATTATTTTAAAATCGAAAATAAACTCTTAATATATTTTACAAGAACAGCTATGCTATTTACAAGCACATATACTACGCCAGGGATTAATATTATCCGGGTGATATTAACTATAAACCTCTAGACCGATATTCACTGGAATTTTATGGAAAAGTGTGTAATCAAACGTATCATTATCGATATTTGGAATATATTTAGGAGTCCATGTTTATTATGATTGTTTGGTCGTACGATGAGATATGTAACCATTGTACTGCCACATTTTGTTATAAATTGACATCGTACCTCATTTTTAAAAATGAAGGCACATTTCATTTCACACAAATTACAAAAACATATTTATACCTTTGTACAAATGCTATCTATCCATTTATTAAGTTATTATAAACTCGTTTCTTTTTGAAAAAAATTTTTAAAAAAAAAAATGTTTTACGTTTATGTATTAAAATGTATCGATAACAAATATTATGTTGGCAGTACTGCGGATTTAAATGTTAGAAATCGTCAACACTTGAATGGTTCTGGTTCAGCATGGACAAGAAAATATCCTCCAATCTGTATTGAATGGAGTGGAAAAACTAATAATGAAAATTTAGAAACGATCAAAACTCTTGAATATATGATACAATATGGTATCTATAATGTAAGAGGTGGGGATTATTGCAAGTTTGATTTATCAATTGATTTTGCTGAGATCCTTTACAAGTTGATATGTAAATGTCCTCGCTGTGATAGACCTGGTCATTTTGATAATGAATGTGCTTGTGACGTGTGTGGTAATCGTGGTCATCTTACCGATGAATGTCTTCATTGCACTAATTGTGGTAAACGTGGTCACTCGGAAGTGGATTGTTATTATTGTTACAAATGCGGTAGACCTGGTCATTCTCCTGATAACTGCGATGCTTGTTACTTGTGTGGAGAACGTGGTCACTTTTCCAATGATTGTGGATACGTCTTTCCTTAACTAAACAATCTATTGAATTCTTAAGATCGAGTTTTTAAAATGGGAGAGAGAGTAGGTGATGAATTTTAATATAGTTAATTTATACAAAATATAAATTCAATAATATGATAAATAATATTGTTTCAAACATAATAATAAAACGTTTATTAACTATTTATCTACTGTATACTGTATTTAAATAATTTAAGATCCTGTGATTTGAAAAAGAGTTTTCTGAAAATTATAAAAAGGAAGTGATCCGTAAATGTTATATAGGATGTTTCTAAGTCATCATTAAAAGAAAATTAAATTTTTATCAAACAAAACTAGTCTTTTCTTATTACAATATGTTTTATAATTGAATAAAAAACTAGTATTTATCAATTTGTCAAGAAATAGATTTAAGATTAGGGTTGGGAAATTTTGTATGTGCTAGATAAAATTAACATTATACTTAATTATTATAAAATACTAACTATAAAATTATATTAATAGTGTACTAACCCCAATCCTACTTATGGTACTTGTTTTCATTACAACCTAAAATATGTGCGATAATATATGATTTTCCTCACTGCCAAAGTGGTCGCTGTAATAATATATTTTTGTAAATACTTTGTTCTTCCATTTCATTTAACCAGCCATATGATATGTTTCTAACCTTAATTTTATTTTGTATTATTACTTCCATTATTTGTTGAATGCAGCTTTAGATCGCTTGAGCATTTTCATAAGTTTCGGCTTAAAACCCTTTCGTTTGATTTTCTGTTTTAAGGTTCTAATGAATTTTCTTAAGTGTTGAACTCTTTGTGGTTTGTCTTCTTGATTTTCTATTTGTCTTAATACTTCTTCGAATTCCCCCGTTTCATTACTTATTACACTTCCAAACGTTGTTACTGTGTCGTTATTTTGTTTATACATAATGGTTTAGGTTATTTATTCCTCTTTGTTTTCTCCAATGTAATGGTTTATATGTATATACAGTACAACATTCACTTTAATAGCAGATTTTTCAAAAGATTATGCAATAAGGTTACATGAAATACTCAGATGACAGCTTACGACCAAAGTGTCCTACAATAGCAACGTAATTAAACTAAAATGCAAAAGTCGTGCTCGCGAAAGAATGATCCGAAAGGGTAGTATTTAAACCAGCAACAATCGGTTTTTTTTTATGCGAAGCCATCTGGTAATAATGTTTTGTGATAGTAATAAAATGATTTTACGACAATACAGTGTTTCTCTTTATATTGGCCCTTCAGGACCATTCTTGAATCATTAGTTTCTTTTTTCAAGAAGATTGCAGCCATGATTACTGCAAGTATCTAAGGAATTCGAAACGGTTCTGCTCAACTAACGCTACAAAATATTTAATTACTGTATATGGAAAATTCGTTAATCTAACTGCGGGAATGATTTCACGTTTATCATATCTTGAAATGAAAATTGACAATTCACAGCGATATTCTGAATAAACATTATGAACGCGCAAAATAATTACAAATTCATATTTCCGAAAGGATCAAAATTTTATATTTCTTTATTTATGAATCAACGAATTGTACAATTTCTAATACCAATAATACTTTCATGAGTGTGTGGACTTTTTACCGATGAAAGTTTTGTTATATACAGTATTATTGCAGAATTCAACTAAACGAAGAACAAATTATAACTATTCAGACAATTCCGTAATGTAATTATATAAATAAAACTGTTTACATTGGTAATTGGTTTGAATTTGCATTGTAATTTTTTTCTGTGCATAAATCTTCATGCATTTTTCTTATCCAACGTTGTGTTAGTTTCAAAAAAGTGAAAACCAATATTGCTTTAAAGGTTCAAAAAAGACTGCTACATGGCATGATTTTGATTTCCTTAAGTTAGATTGTTAACTGTATTTATTGTTTTTAATTTTTAATAAAATCTTAGATTTACAACCCATTTCACCATTTCATGTGATCATCATCCTTTATAAAGTTAGATTCATTGTTGATATTGTTGATGAATACAAACATCACAAGTATTGTGACAAGATCAACTATATTTATGGTTAATACAAAATTTTTTATAATAAATTCCTCACCCTTCCTTTTTTTTTCTTTTTTTTTTTAATCATATTCTTTTTTGATCGTGTATCCATAATTTTTTAATACTTAAGATGAAATCCGATTTATTTTCGGTGTTATCAAGGGATTTAAATGAATTATTAAGTGAACATGAAGAACAAAATGTAATAATACAAATTGGAAACGAAGTAAATTATAAAGAATTTTATGCCCATTCAATTATTTTAAGAGCAAGATGTAAATATTTTAATTCAGGGTTATCCTGTGATTGGGTAAAGAGAGAAGGAAATCGAATTATTTTTAAGAAACCAAATATTACACCCGAAGTATTCGAAGTCATCTTAAAGTACGTATATCGTGATGTCAGTGTGATCATACCGAAAAAACAAAAAAAAAAAAAGTTTTCGCTCACCCTTACTCTCTCTTTTTGTTACCGTTTTTATGACTCTGGTGTTATAGGTACATATATAGTGCTACCATAGCATTCGAGAAATATGATGTGATGCATTTGTTGGATGTCTTGGTGGCCGCTGATGAATTATTATTATCAGAAATGGCGGAATCAATACAAGAATATTTATTAAATCATAAAGCGGAATGGTTACAAAAGGATTTTACCAAATTATTGAGGAAAAGTCAAGAATTTGATTGGTGTGGTAAAGTTCAAGAATGTTGTCAGGCTATCGTGTGTAACGATCCACTTTGTTTGTTCGAATCATCAGAATTCTTAACATTGGAAGAAAATTTAGTCATATCATTTTTGAAATTAGATAATTTAATAATGAAAGAAATTGAAATTTGGAATTATCTATTAAAGTGGGGTAAATCGCAAATACCACCAAAAGAAGATGGAAGCCCAGCGATTGATGATGATGAAAGTAAATGGACTAAAGATGACATCCATATATTAGGCAAAGCATTAAAAGGTTGTATACCACACATAAGATGGTTTCACATTGAACCGAGTTTATTATTTAACAAGATTTGGCCGTTAAAAGATATTTTCCCTCCGGAATTATTGGGGGAAATTTTTAGACATCATTTCACTTATAAATCCAATTTAACATCGATAGATTCTTCTTTTATTTATTATAAACCACAAAGACCTCTCCCATTTGAATCATCTATATTACAACAACTTCACGTGGCAAAATTGGCCAACTGGATCGATCGTAAAGATGGAAGGAATGATACTCCTTACACTTATTATAACATTCCATATAATCTCAAATTACTCGTGAGAGGAAGTAGAGATGGTTTTGATAGCGGTACTTTTCATGATACTTGTGATTCAAAAGGTGCAACTTTGGTCGTTATGAAGGTTAGAGATACAAATGAAATTTTAGGTGGTTATAATCCCGTTCATTGGATGACTGGAAATGGTCATCTCACAACGGAAGACAGTTTTATATTTTCTTTTGGTAAAGGTACACCTGATAACGATCTGGAGGGTGATACTCCTTGTACGTGGGATAATCTAAATGAGTTTAAAATTAGTAGGCCAAGAAGGTCTGAATATGCCATTAGAATTAAAGATAGAACTTGTGGACCTTGCTTTGGTGATAAAGATTTATGGATGACAAGTAATTTTAACGAAGATGAAAATTGTTCGGCTGTTAAAGATGATTATGAACTTGAAATCACTCCTACCGAGAAATTTTCCGTGGACGAATATGAGGTTTTTCAAGTTTTAAATAAAATCATTATTAAAGATGTAGTATCAAATGAGAATAATAACGACAACAATGATGAGGAACAAGCTGGAAATTTAGCCGGTGGAGATAACTCGACAGCGAATGAAGTAAATGTGGAGAATGTGGAAGATGTTACCGATACCACTCGCGTATTTGATGATGCTGATGATAATAATGATCACGAAATTAATTCACAAAACCAACCAACTTCTGTAGATGATAATAATGATCACGAAGATAATTCACAAAATCAACCTGATTTTACAGATATTCAGGACATTCCTTAATTAAATTTAATATATCTCTTTCCTTTTTTATATTCGAAATTCAAAATAAATTTGTGTAAATTTTAAACAAAAACTTTAATTATTTTGATTGTTTTAATGTGTTATGTAAAAAAAAAAAAGCTGTTAACTTGCAGTAAATTCAAAGATCAATTGAATGTAAAAAAAGAAAAATGGATTCTCAAAAAAATCAAGCACGTTAAAATTTGACTCATAATCTTCACTAGATTTGTCACTTCAAAATTATCATCAATTTCACAACTCCTTTTCTAATATTTGAACTTTTTTTAATTTTATATATTATTAAGGTTGCCTGGAGGTTTTGCAAGTCGTCTAATGGTAAAAGGTAAAATTTAGCGAAACTAAAAAAAAGGTAAACTTTATTTAAGCTTATAAAAATGCGAAACTATATCAAAACCTTAGTAAAAAATATTAGCGAAGCTAAAGTTTAGACGTTTTGCCAAATCTAAAATGAGTTTAGACAAACAACCTTATATATTATAAATCTGTAAATAATTAAAATTAATAGTATAAGAAAATGTTAAATTATATGAATATGTAATTTTATAAATTAATATTAATATAAATTTTTCAATAATTAGATAGTTATCTAATAGATATATATGTTCAATTAGATATCATATATATCTAAATTTAACAGTAATCATAAAATTAACATTTTGGAAATTTATAATATTAAAATTAAAAAAATTATATTAATTAATTAAAGTATTTAATTATTTGATAAAATTAAAACATTTAATTTTTAATTAAACAATTCTATAATAATTAAATATTAATGATTTAAAATCTAAATATATATATATAGGTATTTTATAAAAAAAAAAAAAATTAAGAGAAGGTTAGAAATCACATGTTTAATAAAAAAGGGTAGGAGGAATCCTATTGATCATTTTCTATAAATAGTAATTTTATATTTTATATTTTATATCATACATTAAAAATTTAATAAAAATTGTGATAAATTTTATGAACAATTGTTTATATGTATAAAATTTATTATTAAATTTTAATTATTTATGATCTTTATAGGTATGCAATTTTTGAATACAATGTAAATTATATAATATGTATTTACAATACCATACATAAATTGCTTTTTATATTCAGATACAAAAGATAAAGTTAAAAAATATCTCATACATAAATTGTAACTAAAATTGCTAGATGAAATCTAAAGATTTTGCTAAAATTTAATAAAATAATATTAAAATCTTATTATAAAAATCTGCAAAATTCTAAAAAAAGTAAAGTTATATCAAAGCTTATAAAAATGTAAAATTATATCAAAACTTTAGTAAAAAATTAGCAAAACTAAAGTTTAGACATTTTGTCAAATCTAAAATAAGTTTATATAAGTAACTTTAATTGTAATACAATTGTTGATATAATTCAAAAGATATAGATAAGCAATACTGATTATACTTAAGAATTTTAATATATTAAAATATTTAAAAATGTAAATTAGATTCAAGAAATAATTATTATGACCTTTAGAAATAGATGAAAGAAAGCTATTATTTTGAGCTAATAATATAATTACTTATAACACTTTGGTCTGTAGTATTGTAAATTATTACACTTGTAAATATTAAAAGAATAATAACAAATTTGATACTTTTATTTTTACATTATTTTTTAAAACATATTTAATATATATAGAGTAATCATTTGATATAAATTTTTTTCACAATTCATATAAAGTTTTTTCAAAATAAATAAAATTCTGACATATCAAATTATTATCAATTACTTTTTTATTTATAAATAATTATCATATTTATTATAAAAAAGAGTAATTTTTGCAAGTTTTTTTAGATAAAAATGTTATATTTTATTTTATAATATTATATGCAGACTAATCAAATATATATATCAATTATTATATATATAAATCTATATTATGAAAATACTTGCAATATTTTATAAGATTTATTAGATCCTCTATATTACCTAAAAAGACATCACTTTACTATCTAATATATAGTGATCCAAAAACTTTCGTATTTAGAATTAAATATAATAAGAATATGACCATTGATGAACTCAAAGAGGCTATTTTAATTAAGAATAAGAATACCTTTGTTAATATTGATTCTCCAAATCTACTTTATATAAAGTTAATATTAATATTAATACACAAAATACCCAACAAACTGCTCTCAGCAATCAAAATATCAATATTATGAATAATTTAGGTGGATAAGTATTGATTTCTATAAAAAAATATGAAACAATATTTACAGTATCACCTGCTACCAATCATATTTATCTCATTGTCATTGTATCTACTATTTTTACTACTGCTGATAAGTAGTTGAGCACTAAGTTAAAGAATAAATCTATAATAAATCGAATAATGACAATAATTAATATTTTTTTATTTTTTTAACCATTTACTTCTTAGCTAGAAGCGTCAATGAAATTATTGCTAGATTCGACAAGATTGATAAAAATGTTGAAGATATGAAGAAAGAAAAATTTTCAGTATAAATATCATCTATAACCAAAGGAATTTGAATGAAGATTTGAAACTATTCTGATCTTGATTATTAAACGACAACAATTAAAATAGAGTTTTCAAACCTCAATTTAGATTTGAAAAATGAGTGGATTGATGCTTTCAGATGCATAGATGCCATAGAAAAATCACAAAATGATAGGTATAAGTCTTATTTCGCGAATATACTTAAACTTTCCTTATTTTGAAAACTTAAGCTCTATAATCCATTTGATAATGATAGTTTTCTTAATATAAATACTGATCTCTTACTAATAAGACTTTTCAGAACAATAGAATTAGTTATAGTGAACAGATTTCTATTGCTTTCCAAATACTAAAGAAATATATCTGAATAATCTTTGAGTTAAAAAAGGCTATTAATAAGAAACATATATTTCAAACTATGGCAGAATTTATTTCTGCAGATTTAAAATCAAAATATCTAATGTTGACTGTATTAACCGATCTGATAGATGACTAGCATTTTTTGGATTAAAGATAAAGTTATCATGAGGTTTACTCTTCCTAGAGCTAACTCTGTCATATTAATATGATACAATCTTAATTTGACGAACAACAAATTAATAAAATCAAAGGATCGAGCATTATCTAGATTTATACTGTCAACACAAGAAAGTGCTGAAATAGATATAACTGAATTAATAAATCAATCATCATTTGAACTCATATAAGCGATACAAGAAATGGATATAATATCAAGCTACTCTGATAAAGAAATATTACCAAAAAGATAGAAACTTAGACATATTATAACTTCTAATGTAAATTCTAATATAGCTTTGATAGAATATTTTTTTGATACTATAAGTAAAGAAGAAATATTCAGATATAAAGTGAAACGAATTTTAACTCTATTTTTTAGCCAGCTGACCTTTAATGAATAATCAAAAATTTTACTTCTGCAATCTGACAATGAAAATAATATATTAGATTAGTTAAAATAATTATGTGTTAGTTATATTATTTTATAAAATAACACGATTTATTGCAATATTTTTTAGAAATTAGTATTCTAATTCTCTGATCCTAATAAAAGTCAATATATTAATATCCACATCAATTTCTTAGGTTGTGATATATTTTTTTTTATAAGTACTATTAATAAAGCATTTTATTGTTTGCTTATACTAGGCTTATATTATGATTATAATCTATATATTTTATGTATACATTTTATTTTATAATCAATACTTTTTTTTATATTCATAAGCAAATTTGCCTGCTCTACAGTTTAAGGGATAATATTTATTATATAAGTCTCTTCACTTTATGTATTTTCAAATTTTAGACTAAAAACTGAATTCTTATATTTTAAGATAAAATCTTTCTTAGTGATTAGTAATTATAATAAAATTATAATAAAAATTTACTATAAGATATTAAAAATTTCTTTATTAATCTTTATTAAATCTTTTTTTAACTTCTTTCAAGTTTTGATTTCAGTAATAATTTATTCAAATTATCAATACTAAAATTTTCATAAAAGAATTGCACTTTTTATAAATTATTTCTAATATAACTGATTGTATATTTAATAATGACTTCATAAAATACTAATATATAGATTTTTTCAAATTTTTTATCAATTCAAAATCATCATTTATTATCTAGTTAACAATTGTATCCATCTATAGTAAATCAGAAACAGATATATTTTTCAATTTTTTATATATTTTTCAGCATATAAAGCTATATTTTTTTATAAATTAAGAATATAAGTTTTATACTATTATATAAAAATAAGAGATTTGATAAAAATTTACCTCAAGTTTCTTCTTTAAGTCTTTTATATTATCCTTAATTTCTTTATTATTAAGAGGTTTAATTAAGACTCATAATCATAATAAAAAGTGTTAAATTTATTTTTTTAAAAAAATTACATAATTTGATTAAATTATAATATTGTAATATAACTAAAAATTTCTTTAAAATTTTTCAGTTTTTTTTATATTATTTTATAATTATCTGATAAAATTTTATAAAAATTTATAATTATATATTCAAATAATAATAAAAAGGTTACTTAATAATAAAAATTACATTAAGATCAAAATATTTTAATATTATATTATAACTAAGAATTTTATTAAAAAATGAATTTTTTTAAAATAAAATCATAAATTATTATAGTTTAACTTATATTATTTAAATTCTTTGAAAATTCTTACATATCATGTAATATGTTATAATAAACAAATTTAATTGTAAAATCAAAGTTATATTTATTAATAAAAAAATAAGTTTACTTATAGCCAACTTTATCCAATTAATTTAATAATTTGTATAGTGTCTAGATACTTTGTCCTGTATATGTATAATCATTTAAATTATAATTTTTAAAAACTATTTAAAATATATTAAAATTAATTTTATAATAAAAAGTAAAAAACTATAAAAAATTTATATTAAATCTATTTAAATTATATTAAATATATAAAGATAAATTTTATATTCTTTT